CTCCCAAGCTTGTTTCCCTTCATGATTTCGCTTTTGGCTGCCGCTGCTGCCTTGTCTGTGAAGCTTGGCTCCCTTCAGGATTTCGCTCTTGGCTGCCGCTGCCGCCTTGTCTCCCAAGCTTGTCTCCCTTCATGATTTCGCTCTTCGCTGCCGCTGCCGCCTTGTCCCCCAAGCTTGTCTCCCTTCATGATTTGCCTTTGGGTTGCCGCTGCCGCCTTTTCTCCCAAGCTTGTCTCCCTTCATGATTTCGCTCTTGGCTGCCGCTGCCGCCTTGTCTCTCAAGCTTGTCTCCCTTCATGATTTCGCTCTTGGCTGCCGCTGTCGTCTTGTTTCTCCAGCTTGTCTCCCTTCATAACTTCGCTCTTGGCTGCCGCTGCCGCCTGGTCTTCCAAGCCTGTCTCCCTTCATGATTTCGCTCTTGGCTGCCGCTGCCGCCGTGATTCCCAAGCTTGTCTCTGTTCCTGATTTCTTTCTTGGCTGTTGCTGCCTCCTTGTCATTTTCTTGCCTGCCTTTGACGCTGATGCTGTTATAAGATGATTTAGGTCTTGTTTACCGTTTCCATCTTTTCCTGGCTTTGAGTGGGATGTCTCCCAAGCTTGTCTCCCGCTCTTGCCACGCCATCCTTTTCTTGAAGCGCTATCTGGGGTCTATGCCGGTATAATATTTTTCCGGGCGTCAAGCGGTTGCCAAGCGCGTTCACGGTGTTTCCCGCGTTCAGGGGGCTGCTACAGAAGTGCACTTCAAGCATTTGAATGGATGGCTCAAAGTTGTGCTGGGACAGCTGGATGGCTGTTCTGTTCATGCCTCCAGCAGTTGGCTTGGCGCCACTTTAGGTGCATCGAGCATCGCCTGGTGTTTGGTCGGTTTGGCGTGGTCGGTGATACGGGCTCCAGTGGATCGTTGAACGATCCATCGTACAAAAGGGACCGAGGTACGGACCGATGCCCAGTGGTTTCGGGAGACGGACCGAAGCTGGACCCAGTTCCTCCTCTCGGCTCCTCTTCCTTCGGCTCCGGCGACCCGGAAGAACCCCTCCCCCCCCGGGTGGAGGGCTCCTCTGCGTCCGAGCGACAGGAGGATGGCGAAGTCCCAACCTAAGCAGAGATGTACAATGATTGTGATCTGAATTAACATCCTTCATCTCTGGTAATCCAAGTCGATGCCAAATCCATTCCTTTTGTTTTGCCCTCCGAAGGATCACACCGTCACAGTGACGGTTCGCTTCAAACCGCGTGGTTCCCGCGTGGTTACGCACCCACCGGCCTCGTCGAGAGACTCCACGCCCTGCGGCCCAGGGGCGCTCCAAATCACCCAACTTCTCCCCCAAGCGAGGCCGAAGAGCTGTGAACATCTGAAAGCTCCACTGGTTCTCTTCGCGCCTCAGAGCCCCGGAGCCCAGGAGGCCGGGCCGGAGTCCGGGCATGGATGTTCATGTGCCGGACCGGAGTGGTCCGGGCGTGGCCGCAGGGAGAAAAAAAGGCGGCCAATCGTTTTTGTTCCCATCATGCTAGTTTAAAATTGTGTCTGGTTTATAATCTATAATACTCCGTGCTATCGCTGACGATCGAAAATGCGTATTGCTCTAGTTCGAAAGCTGGAAAGTCCCCCGGTTGGTTGGTATCCAAACCCACACAATTTTACGATGCTCTTAGTCGTCGCTAAATGGACAGGGTGAAATTCATGTCCTTTTTCGATCTCATGTCCAAAAAGAAGAAACTGGGTCAGTTCGGCATTTCGCATCTGAATCCATGCAGATGGCAGATTGTGGGACCGCCCCAAGTTCCATTGCTTTCTTCATCAACCTCTCTTCCATGGACAAAAAAGTTTTGACGGCTCTGAATGTCTGGCTTTGGGATTCATGCTGGTGGGGGTTGCTCTTTTGGCAACCCGAACATGGTGAACCAGCTCCGCCCTGAACCAGCTCCAAGCCACGGGTAGACCTTGTGCCTCACCGCCAGCGGTGGTGGCAAAACCATGTGGCTCGCCTTGGTGGGAGACGACTTGAATCCCATCCCCTCCCTAAGGGCCCTTAGGCATGTGCATGTGGTCTGGGATAGTCGCTAGTTGGCGCACGTGCGCGTCCTGGGAGCAATGTCTCATGTCCAAAAGCAATCAACGTCAACTCAGCATCCCCGTCTTCAGTCGAAGTGGTGGGTCCAATCCCCGATCTTTACTCCCCAAGCGACGTTGAGGGCTGATGGCGCCCGCCGGGGGCTGCGCCACCAGGGAACCACCAAAGGGGCCAGGTAGGAGGCCACGACCTGAGGGCAGGTGGGGTAGGTCTGTCAGGCCAAGGAGTCCCTGTCGTTCCTGGTCGGATGCTAGAGCAGTGGAGTCTAGACGCCAAGTGGGAGTCGCTCCCTGGATCTCTAAGAACTGGTTTTCTGTTCTTGCTTCCCTGCCTTCCCTTCTTCCAGGCACAGCCTTCAGAGCGGGGTGATGAATTCAAGGAGGATCTGTTCACTCGACGTCAGAGCGCAACTCGCCGACACCCCACGGAACTCATCCAGTCGCGTGGAGGAAAAAACCACTCCCTTGAGTTTCGAGAGCTAGCACCCAAAAAAAAACACCAAGGAAGTGGAAAAACACCTGTGTTTCTGAACTATACAGCTTGGCCTCCCTCTTCTCCGGTCCAAAACCACCACCAAGAATGACCCTCCTGCCGGTGGACCTCGGTGCTACAGCTGACCGGCAGGCAAAGGCCTCCCACAAAGTGCATCCTGGAGCCAAAATGGATGAAGATCGAATGTACACGACTGGTTATGGACCATATGACACCTGAAGAGGTGGCGGTGTTCATCTTCACCATACAGGACAATATGATGATGGTGTAACATAGGCCCTTTGATGGTGTCTCAAAAACATGCAAAATGGGCACCTTCAGATAGACCATTCTCCTCTAGAACAGGGGCCATATGGCCATATGAATAGAAACTGACGTGGATGGAAAGAGCATGAAAGAACTACTTGCTCAAGAAAAGTGGTCTTCGAGGAGGGGCCATGTTCATGGCCATTCTCCATTTCGCCAACCAACTGGGGGGATGTGGGAACTTCATGCGCCAAGACGGATGCCTGGTAGGCAGAGTGCCGCTCAGGCAGTGATCGCTGGTGGTGAAAAACATGGTTTGCCAAGTCGGAAACGGAATCATGACGGATTTTTCTTGGCGTCTCTCCTCATCGTCCGAGTCCGCCCGTCCTCTGAGGCCGCAAGGGCTTCACCGCCGCCACCTGCTCCACCGGGAACCAGCGTGGGATCCCCAAGCGCTCCGTGGCAATCCTCGGGGCGAACAGGTCGAGGAATGGAGGGGGAATCGAAGAAAATGCTGGGCTACTTTGGAGTGTTGGTCACTCTCTGAGAACAGGAGTCAGTCAATTCTTGATGCTTGGTACAAGGGTGATGTCTCAATTCCGATTCCACCTTCAATTCGAAAAATCGGATACAGGCCAAACAAGGGGCCGACACAAAGAAAAGACGACTGTGGGGAGAGTCCCGGAGTCCTATATGGGCCGGGTCGTGTCAGCCTTCACTTGGAAAGAGGGATGATGAAGGGGGCAACTCCGAGACCCCCTTGTCATTGCTGCGTCTGAATACTGGGGGACGGTCAACTCTTCCTGAACTGCAAACACTTTGACCATGTCCCCAGATGACAAAATCCTTGGACCCACCCCAGCCACACCAGGAGTCTTCCGCTGCGCCTCCAACTCCGCACACCGAGTTCGGTGTGGATGCCCGGCCTTTCCGCGTTCGTCCCGCTCCGGCCTGTCCCCCGTTCCAGAGCGGCAAGCGGCAAGCCAGCGCCCATGCTCGCCAGGTACCAGTAGCGCTGCGAGCATTGCCGCGGCGTCTGCTCCAGATCCTCGGCGGAAGCCACCGGTGGAAGCCACCAGCGGAAGCCGTGGCGCGAAGGGAGCGAGGTCGCTGGAGGGGGGAGGAAGCGCTCCCAGGAAGCGCCCCTCGTGAGGGCAACTTCAGAGCTTGTTGAGAGAGCTGCTTGGGCTGCTCCCCATATCATTGAAGCACTCATTGAAGCTATACATATAGGAGAAGGCTACCTGTCGTGATCTGCGATGCGTCCATCCGTGTGCTGGCAGATCCCTCTTTTTCTATTCTAAGGGAGAAGTTGCCTTACGGGGGAGTCCATATGAGCTTGTGCAACTGTGGCAGCAACGGTTCTCAACTGTGACAGAATTGAACAAACTCGAGAACCGTTAAAAGAAACGGCTCTAAGATGTTCCAACTTCTAAGTTCTAAAGAAACAAAACCATCTACGAAAGCTCTGGGAGTCAAAGACTAGACAAAAGAATGGTCTTTTGAGGTGATCATTCTTAAGGGGATGTCCCTTCCTTCGGCAAAAGATCGCCGGACTTTGAGGGAAAGCTTCTTACGGCTCGAACGAAAGACATCGACTTGATCGAGTCAAACTCCCTGTCCCACCGGTATGGGCCGATCTCCGAGTGGCCAAGACCGCCAGCTGGGCCATTTGGAGGCAATCCACCTCGGGGCAGTGTTAGGGGAACGGAGCAGGAGCAGCGTTCCAAGGGCTGTTGATATGGGGTAGATCAGGCAAGAAGGACCCAAATCTTGGATGATTTCAGCCAGATCCATGTGTGCCAAGTGCCAAACCTATGCTACTGAACATGTAGGGAGATGCGAGCTCTATGGAAGCAACCCCAGTTTTGACCACGACATCCAGCTGTGGAGAAAGACTTCCCACCCAAACTCTGCTGAATAGGAGAAATAGACCACCAAACCAACTGAACCAGCAAAGTCTCACTATTCAAACACCAATTGGGCCAGGGGTGTCTTTCACTTTCACTTCCTTGATCACTCCAGGCACCAGCCCAACGGGGTGGGTGCCCTCCGCATGTCACTCGACCCTGCAAGGCCAAACCCAGTGGCCGAGGGGTCTGACGACTTCACGGTGGCTCCCACCTGCAGTCTTTGAAGCTTGGAGAAGAAGGGAACTGGCCAGTGCCAGATTCTGCGGGGTGATTGCTAATGGTTGAAAATCATTGCCCCGAAACATGCAAAAATAAGGAAATCACCTCGCTCTAAATGTGAGAGGCGCTAGTGATTCTGCCCGTGGATTTCATGAGTCGGCAACTGGTGAACCGGTGCACGCCGAAAATGAATCACAAATGGACTCTTGACGGGAGAGAATGTGACAGAGAACATCAAAAAAGGAGAAGCTGTTCGATGCTCGATGCTCCCAGAGCGCATTCCAGGCTCTTCCTGTCCGACTCCGCGATCGTCGCAAGAAAAGCTACGCGGGGCGTTTCCGCGACGCCTCGGGTTCGCCGGTGCCGCTGGGACCCCGCCACCGCTTCGACGCGCCAGCGACGACGGACCCGTCGGACGTGTCCAGGCCTCGGGGAGTTGGGGGAGGCCATCACAGCAGGCCTGGCCATCTGGCAGTCTCCAATCTCGCTTCTTTGGGATGCAAGAACAGCTGGTGGCCTTTACAAAGCCAAGCAGGGGATGGTCCCAAGAAATGCTGCGTGTAGCAGCGTAGCATGGAGGGGGATCCCATCTTCCACTGTTTGAGTTCAAAGGAAGGCCTTGCGAATGGGTGGAAGTGGTTTGTGGGTGGCCAACTTGAAGTGTTCAAGTCCGAACTCCGTCCCTGTCACTCCGTTCCCAGCAAGCTCCTCGCTCAGTTATTGAGGGAAGCGACTCGTGGTCAAGAAATCCCCGAAATGCCAAGCTTCTTCAAAGTCCGGGTCCCGGAAATGGGCACGATCCTTTTGAAGAGATCAATCCTGGATGAGGATGAGGATGATGATGATGATGATGATGATGATCGAAGAGTCACACCTTTGGATCTCAACCGGACACAACCCACCAGCGTCCCAGCGGGTGCAGGTCCGGGCCTCTCGCGTGAAGTGTTCGTCCCAGCAAGTGCCCAGGCCGCCCAGGCCTCGGTCGACGGGGAGTTCGACACCTCCAACAGCTGGGCAGATTCCACAGCTGCTTTTTGGTCAACGAGGGGTGCAAACCAATCGAAAAGGTCGAAAGGAATGCCTTCCCGAAATGTCGAGGTCATCGTCCCTTCCCAACTGTTTGGACATGTTTGGACTGATAGCGGAGGGGGAAGTGTCTAATCGGCAACCATGCTTCTTGTCAATGGAAGAATTCCAGAAGCCGCCGAAAGCTGTCAGGAATCTCCCTAGACCACAACACGGCATTAGATGGACTTCCATGGACTTCCCACATCTCACTCACAGCCATTTAGCACTCCCACCACGTGGGCTTACAGGCTTACAGCCTTGGCCCCTTCAAGGCTCATGTCCACGTGCCAGCAGCATGTTAAGAATCTGCAGAAGAATGCCCGTCTCAGCACACTCGGCCGGCCGAACTTCTCTCAGCTCGCAGCAACAGGCGGCATAGGTAAAGCCCTGAACCCAGCATTCTCGGCCTTAGAAGACCCAGTTGCAACATGGCGTACTGAAAAACATCTGCACATCACTGCTGCACGGTCGGATAACCGTCAGGTAAAGGACTTCAAAGGGTCAAGGACTTGGAAGGGTAGGCGGTAGGCCACCAATGATGCGAGATTCCCGAAGCGTTGAGGAAAGCTCTCACAAGTCACTCCACTTTAATACATGCTCTTTGGAGCAACACTACGATGTTTTCTTGGAAGAGCATCTCCAAGCCACTTCTTGCTTTGAATCAGAGGTGTGGAAGTGTGAGGCTTGGCTCAGACAGAATCCAAAAAACATTGGGACTGAATGGTATTCATCAATACGTCCCAATCGCAATCCCTCATCTCCTAGAGGTATGTAGTTATCACACGCTACTAGTATCCCCATCGCATGTCCTCATCCAGAAAAACGCTCCGGTTAAGCTAGTTCTCAAGACGAGTGCAACATAGTGGAACTGTGATCAGTTTTTTGAAAGGTTTCGAGTTTCTGAGAGTGTCTTTTCCTTTCCAGCTCTATTTTTCTTAGTTCAGTTGACCACACTTCTTCAAGCGTTCGGAACCACAGCGACCACCCCGCCTGCCGGCCGCAGCGCCGCGGCCTCAGCAGGCTTCGCCTGGTCGGCACGCAGCAGCGCGGGGCGCAGCAGCGGCTTCGGGGGACTTTGCCCCGGGGCCGCCTGGCCGACCAGGGTTGGCTCTGGATTCCCCAGCTCCATAAGCCAAGTGTATGTCCAAAGATGAGAGTGTGGGAGGACCCGTTGATATGTTTTTTGGGGGGGCAATGCAGGTAGAGCTTGAATTGAAACGACAGAAACCATTCTTCAGGCTTGGACCCCAAGGGGTCCACGTCCTGACCTTGTTTGACCCCAGGACGCCTCGCCCAAGAAGCAGCAGCGTTCAAAGGTGAAGCGATTGTTGTCCCAGCAGTTGAAGATATCGCCCATGGGGCTAATCCTCAAGTCGCCTCAGTCGAGGCAGTTGCTGGATGTCTCAGAAGGAAGGCCGAAGGCGGAAGGCCGAAGGGAGGATGTCGGTCCGGTGGAAACCCTTCGGGTGTCCGAATGATACGGTACAACGTTGGGTGCGGAACTTGAAGGATAGGGGTGCCCACGATCCACTCACTTAGAGACTAAAAACCACGGACTCCATGGAATGTATAATGAGCTTCCCAGAACCTCCTCCGCCACAAGAAAGGAACCTCCTCCCTGTCCAGCTGAACCGGTGGATTTCTCCCAGCGGCAGCAGCGGGCATAGGTGGCAGCACTGCCTGGGAGATTCTCTCGGTCGACAGTGGAGTTCCCAAAGGCTTTGCATGAGGAGTGACTGGAGGATGAACACCCCTACGCTCTAACAAGCACGCCCTTTTGGGACTCCAGAACTGCCAATTCTTCTGGTTTGAGTTCAGCAGCTTCAGCAGCTGTAAGTCCTCCTGCGCCTCTAGAAGCGAGGCAAGCCCAGAATCTTTTCCATTCGGCACATGTTCTCCAGAGGTTTGGCTCCAAAACAAGAGGCTTCTTCAGCATGTCTTCCACTAAAGAGTCCAACAATGCCTTATATAACTTGGAACCGAAAAGAAACTTGAAACCGAACCGAACCGAACCAAACACTTTTGGTTAAGCGCTTTCTTCCCCCTTCTAGGGGTTGCTCGGCCTGTCCAGCAGTCCTTGCCCGGCTCGTAGGTGGGAAAGAGCCCCACGCTCAGCCTGATGGGCGGTCGCCTTTCTCCGAAGGTCGGTCGGTTGATGGGTGGTTCCAGTTGGTCGGTTGGTCTTCAGTTGGTCGGGTTTAGGGTTGGTGGGTTGGTGGGTTCCAGAATCCTTGGACTGAGGCATCTGCAAGTGCTTCAGGAAAGGTTCTCAAGTCGGATGGTGAGGCCAGATGGATTCTGGTGGGATCCCAGCCACAACTTGTGAGTCCCTGAAGGGTGTTCAGGGACTTGGATCAACTGGGAACTGGGCCACCAGTCATGAGCCTGGCACCATGAAACCCACGATGGCCCCATCATGGGTATGGGGGTGAAAGCGACTGGCTTTTCAATTCACCTCTGTCTCGTGTTGCTCAGGCTGCCCAGTGTGGTTTAGCATCTTGAGCCTACCCTCTGCACTTCCTTCGTCTTTCCAAGGCGAAAAACACCATTCTGCACCGAAAAAAGAAAAAAAGAAACACTCCCACCCTCACCAGGTCCTCATCACCCTGCCGCAGGCGGAAAACGCCACGCTCAGCACTGCAGCTGAGTCACTCCTCTGGTGGATGCCCCAATGCCGGCGCCGCAAACTGCTCCACCTCCACCCGGACGGCGTCTTCAGCCGTGGCAGTCGGCAGAGCAGCGCCGGAACAACAGCGCTGGAAGTTGAACTCCTTGGTGTGAAGGAGCTGGGGTTGTTAGGAACATGAAGGGGAGCAGAATTTCATGGTGTTTTTCCAACTTTCCAAATACTTCCAAAGCCATCCACGAATCTTCCTGAGGGGCCGAGGGGTTTTTCCTGAGACGTGGATCGGACGGCGGGACCTCTGGACCTCTGTGAACCACAGGGGGTGTCAGTGAGTCTGTCTGGTTTGGGCGGGTTGGCGTGGGTTCGATGGGAATTCCGACTCAGGAGCAACGTCAGTGTATGTCGATTGCTTGCTTCGATGCTGCCCCGTGCATTTGCACTGCTTTAACAAGACACGACCTGTGTCGTGCTTGCCCCAGCCACACGGAATGGTCCTCCAGGAACTTTCAGAACAACCCACCGAACCCACCGTCGCATCGGAGAAATCAAGCATCTCCATCCCAACAGCTGGGATTCCCTTCTTCACCATAGGTCCTCAGCTGCAGACGGGGCCCCGCAGTGGGTTCTCCACCATTTCCGCGGATGTTCAGGAGAAGCAACAGGAAGCATCCATCATTCGGCCGACGCAAATCCCGAAACTAACCGCCTCATCACATCTCACACCACTGGTCCACTCAGCTGCTTGGAATTGGTGTTGTTATCCACCCTAAAGGCACCAAAAAGACAGAGGACAGAACATCAATGAAATGTGAGTATGACGATCAAATCTATTCAACATTGTTCAACTCTTTTCTATCTCCCCTTCTGTTCCACAATGTTCCACCTGCTTCCCCTCCCCTTTCATCCTGCATCCTTGGGCTTTCCGATCCAAAAAAAGACATTACAAATATGAGAAAGCAAAAAGGAACAAAAACATTTCTATATTATTATGTAAAATGATAAATATGTAATATGTAGTTGTAGTATATATATATATATATAATGTATGTTGAATCATATTAAGCCAAACCAAGCATCGGCACGTCGCAGCACAACTCCGCCGTGAAGCCCGCCGACCAGCAGCTCTCGAGACCAGCTCTGAGCGTGGCGAAGTCGTCCCGTCCGCTCGGACGGACCGGGCCCACGGGTGAGACGACGGTCTCAGCGGGGGGGATGGGAAAGAGCATCCTGTTCCGCGGCGAAATGATTTGAAAGACAAAGGCTTTTCATGAGATGACAGCATCCGGACCCGGGATCTGTCGATTGGATCGGATGGGCTGAAGAAAGGGATGCGCAAGAGCTGGCTTGGGCGAATGAAGCAAGTCAATGTTCTTACAGCGCTCCGAAAAAGCGGTCTTTCCTCGGCCCGAACGTCTCACTTCCGCGCCGCGAAAACCACTATATGGTGATCCCCAGATAGATAGCGGCACGGTTTCCAATACATGTTCTGCGTGGGGATCCAAGAACTTCTATCCAAAATAAAGGGGTCTATGTAAGTCACCAGATGTATCCAAATGTCACTAGTGAGTCCTCGTGAATCTTCACGTCCGATGGTCTCCCGGTCGCCCGTGCAGACCGGTCGCCCGGTTGAGATCCAGCAGAGGCTGAGAGCGACGACATGGCCCGGTGCGCAGAGGCTGACCCACATGCGATGCCAGAGGCGAGGCGAAGTGGGCGATGCCCAGCTGGAGAAGCTGGAGGAGCTCGGTGGGCGAGTGGTTTGGAGTGAGTGTTGGGAGGGTTCGAGTCAACAGTCAGAGGGTGTTTTCGATGTGTTGGAGAAGGTTCTGTGCTCTTGAGGCTTCAGGCTTGAGTCATGAGGTGTTCGAGGGAGGCCCTGGACCTCGATATCGAGTTTGTGGGATTTGATTTTGTAGAGAAAACTCGTCTTTCAATGTCTTTCAAGGTCCATTTTCAGAGGTGGGACGTGTTCTATGTTCGTGTTTTCAGAGGTGCTCCAATGGTTGCGTGAGAGGGAAAATCGCCGCTGGTGAGGTGCAGTGCCCAGCAGGCTGGGCAGGTCAGCTTGCTCAAAAAAGTGGTTCTAAACCATCCATCAAGACGATCCCATTTACATCGGATACATATGGTTGACCATTCTAAAGTCCGTCATATCTTCAGCATAAGAGATATCCAAACTCTTCTACATACTTCAAGACTTCAAGAGTTCTTGTATGTTCTGGTAGATGTTGCACTTGGCTGATGGATGATCGGGCCTCACTCATGTGATTTCACGCGGTCTTTGGATTTGGCCAATGGCGACTCGCCCAAACACGGCTGCACGAAGCTAGAGCCGTCCAAGACCCCCGACTCTTCTTCGAAGCGAGGACTCAACATCCCTTCTAAACTAAACGAGTATCCAAATGCACGTGACACCTAAAAAGGCACCGATCCTAAACACACTTTCGCTGGCCAGTGGCACAGGGTCCTTAGATCTATATAAGTGTTGATTCCCTTCAAATCGATTCAAATCGGACATCTTCACGTACCAAGATGGTTTTAAAAAAAACAACAAGTCATGGACCCAGAAACAGCATCGCTGCTGCTGACCAAAAGAAAAGAAAATCCTCCGTACCACTCACCTCTGGGAAAAAAAACTGATCACAAACCCTGAAGCAACACGCATGTCTTTCATGTTTCAACTTGATGTGCTTTCTTTATGCCACCGGGCTTGAAGCCAAAATCCAGATCGCTCCTGCCCCAGCTGCCGGTAGAGTGGACCTATATCACCTGGCGGCAGAAGCTACATCACTGGCGGAAGTCTTTCAGCTTTGTTCGTCCTCGCTACCGTCTCGAAGCCCCGGACATCCCACGTCCGACCAATTCTCAAAGAGATGTCGTGGACCTGGTTCTTTCCACCGTGTCAATCTGTGTCCCGTGTTGGTCAAAGTATGAAAAAGGAAACCTCATCGGCGAGAACCGCAAGAAGCTTCGAGTAACTCCTTTTCAGCTGTAAATGGCAGGGATGGTCGATCATGTGTGGTCATGTATTAAAAAGAAAAAATCACATCCAAGGTGCAATGGCTGCAATGGTTTTGGGGGGGTGTCTGGTCACTGAGATGTACCACAGACTGCCAGAACCAAAGCAACTGGAGGTCAAGGGCATCAATTCAGAGCTCTCAAGCACTCAAGTGTTTGCCTGTGCTTGTCCTAGGTCCTAGCCACTAATCCCAAATTGGAGGACTTGTTCGGAGTGCTGAACCAGCAGTTCCAAATATCAAAGTCAAAGCCGCCGCAGGGCTGCGTCTATGATCGATATGCGTCACAGATCAACCGTTTCCAATAAGACCCCCAATCCCTGAAGAAGCAGTTCCTTCTTTGAGCTTCCCTCAGAACACCAGGCGTTGCTCCAAAAAGCGAGAAGCCTCACAACATCCCCCCATGTCGGTCGCTCCACGGCGGGGTTCCCTCCCGTGTTTTGCGTTTTTTTCGCTTTGTCGTGAAACACAGGCCCTGCCGAGGAAGAGCCGAAAGGGAGATGCCAGCAGCGATGCCACCGGGCAAACCCGATGGAAACCCGATGGAATCTAAGCTGCCAAGAGTCCCCAAAAAGAATTTACAACGCCAAAATTCCAGAATGAACGTGAAAGCAAGCTTCATATGCGACTGCATTTGTGGATACATTGGCTGCACCCCAAATTGGGATTTGAGCCAAGTCTTGTACAGCATGTTGCAGTTGGCATCAACCCTCCGTCCAGGTCTCCTCGATTATCGAGCGCAGAGAGGTCTGCGCACCCCTATCTTCTACGAGGAACGACGCCAGCGGTCGTCTGTAGGTCCCGGCAGGCACTGGCTTCACTTGGTGTTCATGGAAAAAAGATCCCAAATGGTTCTGTTCGGGACTGAACAATTTAGCTCTTTCACAGAACTGTTTGGCCTTCAACCTACTTCAAGTCCAAGGTGTCTCCAGATCCCACGTCGCTGCCGGATCACACGGCACACCGCGAGGCTGCGCATGGGACCCGGCCACAGGGACACGAGGAAACCCCGTGCAGGGCTGTTGCCTGGGACGCGGGTCCGACACAGCAGCAGAACCACCACAGAACCCTGCCGCACCAGCCCAGCACTGCCTATCCAAAGCCGAGGTCAAAGAGCAGGAAGCGGCACCTGCAGGAAAATGGACATCTCCAATGGAAGAAATCATGCATCTCTTGGGATGGGCATAGATTTGCTGAAATGTCTTTGGAGCCAAAAGAGTGGTCCGTGAACCGTCCGAGTCTTACAACATAAATACTCAAAATGTGTTGGTTTCTGCTTGCGCTCAACATGGCCCAGCATCCAGAAATCCACAAAAACCACAAAAAAAATTGAGACCAACTAGTTTCTGAAAGGAAAAAGTTTCCCACGTCTCCAGATTGTTCAGTGGCTCACCCTCACCCTTCGCCTCCACCAACACCAGGACAACACGCCCGACAAGGGCGGCCGCCGAACCAGCCAGGCTACACCTGCTCGACCGAAGAAGCCCCTGTGGGTGGCGATCGATCTTTTCCCAAAAACCGGGACATTGGACTGGTGTTATCTAGCAGAGTGTGCTGGGGGCTGCGGTGACTGGTGGGGCCGGGGCTTGACTGGCACCGGCTTTTGTTTTTTTGTGCAGGGTCCGAAACGAAAGCGGGGATCCATTCTTCAGTCGAAGGATCAGTATTTAGATTCTTTGGATCATATTGGACCCACAGAGTTGCAATGGGGATGGCCATAAGTACTGATGCGCTTGTTCTTGCAGAAACAGACTTCCAGGTCGCAGGCCAAACTGCACCAAACTGCGCATGTCAGACATCGCATGGACATCGCAACAGTGGGTCATGTCGGAAAGGTAAGACCGTAGGGGGAGGATCGGAGGTGGCGGGTTTTCCTCCGCAATGGAGGTCTTCGGTCACTTTAGGATCCCCCCAAAAAAGGGAATTCATTCACCGCCACGACAAAACCTCCACTCCAACCTTTCAAGGCCCACCACGGCGATCTGAGATGCCCCGACAAGCCAAGGAGGCAGCACCCAAGCTAAGGAGGGTGAAGCCCAAAATGCCCTCCCAAACGTCCTGCAAGTCCCTGGGTCACAGAAAAGAAAGTCGCAGAGTTCAAGGCAAAATTGCCAACTGGATAGCTCCAAAGTAGTGCATTGCTGTACTGTATAACGGTGTGATGCACGCTGAATTTAAATGTCATTTCACATTAGGGAGTTCGGATGTGAGAAGTTGCAAACTGCTGAGAAGCCCTTGCGTCACTGCCTACAGATCCACTTCAAAAGCTTTGCATACGTTTGTCGGCCCTGCACAGCAAGAGGAGGAGTGCTAAGCACTCCCGGAGGCTAGGAATAGCATCCAACAACCCTCTTCCCTGACCAAACAGGTGGGTATAAGTAAGCCCACGGGTCGTGTATTCATCGAAACATTATGTCACAAACCATCAAGTTTCATTCTGATGCGTAGCCTACCTTTTCACGGCGGGCTCACGTCCAAAGATTTCAAGGAACCCCACCAACATCACCGCACTCATTGCTGCAATGCTGTGGAACGTCATCTCGTCGCCGAACAATTAGACAAAAACCACAAAGTACTGCTACGGTTTCAGTGGAATACCGCGCTGCATGATGTTCAAAACCTAAACCTGCTGGAATCTGCTCCGGAACCTGCTCCGGAATTGGTCGGGAATGGCCCGGAACCTCTGGAGCCTGGCGCGGAACCTGCTCCGAAACCTGCTCCGGAACGTGCGCTGGAACCTGCACCGGGCTCCGGAACCTGCTCTGGCAGCTGTTCCGGAACCTCCGCCGGAACCTGCTAAACACCCACCAAGCCAAGCAGCCGCAACGCGAAGGGGAAGGACGAAGAGGCACACATACCTGCCGGAACGAGAACGAACAAACCACCACCACCACCACCACCACCACCACCCCCACCCACCACGCGGTCACTTTGAGCTGCGCAATCTCCTGCGCCACAGAAACGGTACCGATCGAGAACCGCCTTTGAGTTGCTCACAGCTTTCCTATGGAACGGCTTCGCAGCAAACTTTCCTCGTCAAGCCCATTCCTGCACCGATCCGGTGCTTCCCAACACATTGGGCAGTATTGCCCGCGCATCACTGCACGCACAGGCCCTCATCATCCTGAGATCAGGCAAGCTGGCAGAACACCTCCCACACCACAGTTTACACCAACCACCTCTTACACCAAACCACCGCTTACAGCAACCACCGTTTGCACCAATCACAATTTACACAGCAACGTTTACACCAAACCATGGTTTACACCAACCGCCGTTTACACCCAACAACGGTTTACACCAAGCACCATTTACACCTACCCACGGTTTACACCAACCACCGTTTACACCTAGCCACGGTTTACACCCAACGCTACGAAGAGGGAGGTTGCCCATCGCTCCTCTGCAACCCGGCGATTGCGAAGACCCAAAGGCCCCGTTTCAGTCCAAGACGCGTGGCCTCCATCCTGCCCAGAAAGGAGGCGCCCCCATTCTGCCCGGAAAGAGTGTTTTTGCGAGGCAAATCTTCGCGCAAAAGGGACAAATGAAAGATGAGCGAGACAAAACAAACAAAACAAGCTGTATGTAGTTGCCAATGAAGGGAGAACCTGGTGAAGGGGGACAACAAAACCATACCTAATTGCATCGAACCTGGGGCACTTGAACCTAGTTTGGTGAAAGAGTACAGTACACGCGTATGTGCACAAACTAAGGTCCGGGCAAAAGCGCATGCAAGAGAAGAAAAGAGTGAGGATGACAGGACATGAAGACATGTATAAAGGACGTGAAAGAAAAGAAGGAAACCGCATGTGCGGGGTCCAGTGAAGGGGGAACCAAATGAAAGAGGACAAACCGATGAGCAGCCGAACCTCATTAGAAGACCTGTTGCAAACGCCTGGTTTGTTTGTAAAACACGCCGCACGCAAGCGCTCCTGGCCTTGGCCAGTTTAGGCAACTGCTCCTCGGCCAGGTTCTTAGAGGTTAGGCCTTCCACTCCTCGCAACGCTTTGTCTTCTTCTCTTCCCTTCCCTTTCTTTTTCTGTTCTTTTCTCTCTCCTTTGTTTGTTCAAGCGTGCCAGCAGGTCCTTCTAGGCGCCATGAGGCTAAGCAAGGTTGGGAAGCAAAAGAGACCAAACCGGTAGCGGTCGTGTATTTGTAAGTCTCAAAGTGGTCTTTGCAGTCTGATAGTAATCTGTAGATTTGAAAGTGTTTGTTGAGTTTGAAAGTAGATATACTCTAGATCTGTTTCTCTTCTCTTCCCTTCTCTTCACTTCACTCCTTGGTCTTGTGAGCCAAAAAAAAGCAGAAAAGTACAGTAAACCACCATGCTGACAACACCAAAGGCAACACCAAAAGTAGCCTCTTTCTCCTTCTTTGTCTCTTTCTCTTTCTCCCACACTTCTCTGACGCTCTTGTAGGGCACTCTTGTGAAGCAAAGTCGACACTCTTGTGGGACACTCTTGCAGGACACTCTTGTAGGACACTCTTGTCGGGCACTCTGGTGTGGAACGCTCTTGTAGGACACTCTTGTGGAACACTCTTGTATGACACTCAGTAAAATATGGAACATAGTACAATGAATAGAAAAACATACAGACAAAAAAACATACTATTTGAAGAATACAAAACCTATCGAAGTATGGTTGTTTTTCTTTTCTCTGTTCTCTTTCTCTTCGTTCCTTTCTCTTCTTCTCTTTTTCCTCTTCTCTTTCCCCCACTCTTTAAAATACTCTTGTGGGGCACTATTGTCCAGAAAATGGCGCGTTTTAAAAGCTGCTACGAAACATTCTTGTAAAACACCCTTCAAGACAATATACAAAAGGTTTCTTATTTGCAAATACTAAGTAAGTAACTGTGTGTGCGTGTTGTGTCTAATTCTTATGTCTATTGCTGTTGTTGCTGCGGTCGTTGTTGTTCTTGTTGTTGTTGTTGTTGTTGTGGTTGTGGTTGTGGTTGTGCGCTGGCGTGTCGTTGTGTTGTATCTGTTGTTGTTTTGTGTGTGGTGTTGTGCTGTGTGTATTGTTATTTACAAATAAACTGGCGTAGTTAAAATATGAAACAATATTGTATCTATCGGTGGGTTCTAAATTATCTCAATTTAGACATCTGATATATGATTCAAATATTGAAAAGGAAATCATAACTATAAATATATATAATTTTGTGTCTACATGCACGTGTTTTATGATTTCATTTTTCCGATAACAGTTGAAAACCTAAAGATATATATATATATTAGATCGGACTTCTATATTTGCAAAAGATAGTTTAAATATGTATATATATGTAAACGGTAAACGTTTAACTTTTTTTGCGTTATTGGTTGTCAATGTTTCTAACTTAAAAAGTCAAAAACATAACACAACTTTCAATTTTACAATCAGACGTATCAAAGTATAGATCGAAAAACACCATATATACATATATAATTTCGCAGGCCAAAACCAATATGCAAAAAAACAAGCTTCTTCCTTCCATGTTGACAAAAAATAGATATAGTTAATATATACCCAAAAATATGAAATACAGAAATACAATTGGTTTAAACATATGTGCGTTCAATTCTTTTTACTGTTAGAAATGTAAATATTGAAACTATTTATTTGCAAAAAACTGTGAAATAGAAAATTGAGTTCTAATATATTTGAAAAAACAAATACAAGCATACACAAACTAAAAACGTTTATATAAACAATAAAAAGCCCAGAAAAACTCAAAGGTCCAAACAAAAAGAATGCTAAGATCCAAACAGGCTCCCTGCAAAGCAACCACAAGTCCTGCAAAAACAACATTCGCAAAAGCTCAAAACCCCCAAAGCCCCACCCGAACCCCCAAAACCCACACCCCCAAACCCCACACCACAAAACCCAGTCCTCCAAGCCAAGGCCATGTGCTGCAAGCAACTTTCAAAACAAAGCTCCATGCCCAAGTCCCAAGCCCCACCCAAACCCCCAAACCCAGTCCTCCAAGCCAAGGCCATGTCCTGCAAGCAGAAAAAGACAGCAGCACACACCCACCCCACTACCATAATCTGAGGGGGGAACTCCAGAGCCAAAATGACTGTGTATATAGAAAGTTGCTAGCACTTACAATATGTACTAGTTCAAATTTCTTGAGTTAGTCATATTCTAAGTGCACGCTGAAAAAAGAGTTGCTGCTAAGTGCCTCGAACCCAGTTAGAATACAAACAGTACACCCGGTTAGAGCATGAACGATATTCAAGCGTCGCATAGATTTGGGCGCTTGCCTGCGTGCTCTATGTTTGCATTATAGCTCCCATCAAGCCGAGCAACCGCGCCGCTTGCCTGCGTGCTCTATGCCTGCATTATAGCTCCCACCAAGCCGAGCAACCGCGCCGCGAAGAGGAAGAAGACGAAGAAGCACCTGCCAGGGCCGAGACGGAACGAGACGAACAAGAAACAACCCACCACCACAACAAAAACAACAAACAATAACTATTCAATAACCACCCAGCCAAGCAACCGAAACCTGCTCCGAAACCTGCTCCAGAACCTGCTTCGGAACCTGCTCCGGAGCTTGCTCCGATCTGCTCCGAAGTCTATACTGCTGCTGAAGGCCTCTGAAGCTTCGCTGTTGGCGAAAATAGGGAGACCTCCCAGTTCACCCGCCTGGGTTCGGTTCAGAAAATTCACCAAAAACCGAACCCAGCCAGGAGCCAGGGGCCAGGGGGTGCGTGCCTTTCCTATTTAGATGCGCAGTGTACGCAACCAGAGGCGCTGCACTTGAAAAGGTGTTTAAGTGGGGTGCTCAGGTGCTTGGCTTCCAAGCCGCTCAGGCTCCGGAGGTGCTCCTGCTGGGCAGCGGCGAATAAGAAAGAAAGGTCTGCAGACGAAGAGATGCAAAAAGACTATATACATCCAGAAAAGGATGAACGTGCAGAAGAGCCAAATTAAGGACATCTGTCAATCTGTCAAGTGAGAACATCACAACTTCTTCGGCCTGGTTCATCAATTCCCGATAATTTGGAAGGGAAATAAAAATGTCTCAACAAACATGTGCGTTCCACATCCACACCCCTGTGAATCGAAGCTACGTCTCCCTCGTCCCTCGAAGTTGTGGCGAACCAACGGACCCACCCCCCGCGTCACATTCATGGGCGTCCACGTCCTCCGGCATTTTGGAAGAACTCCTTGAGGATCTCCTGGAACGGAACCGGACGTTCTGATACGTTTTGACATGAGTCACGACATGAGTCACGACCCATGTGGAGCTCTGACTGGGAGACCACAGGAGTAGACCCCCTAGGCTTGACCGATTCTCGAAGAAGGGAACCTTTCACAAAAGACAACCTCCTACGCTTGACAGGAACTCTCCGTTCGAGCTACTAGGCGCTGATAGGACGCTATGCTCGGTGTTGGAGGGCCATCGCGAGTAGGTTGGAGGCCATCGCTACGAACGCCGGAGACTCCTTGGACCTGCCACCAGCGGGTTCCCCCGCTTCTTTGTTCACCTTCACCTGTGATCACCGTGATCACCTGTATCTGTTCTTGTTTTATTGGTCTTCAAAAAAAGAGGGATCGCATCACCCTTTCATGGGTCAAAACCCATGTGGCCCCATGGCAGCTCCTCAAAGTTCTCAAAGCCGTGCATGCCCGCCTGATTTGCACGCGTGGGCTTCAACCAGGGCGAATTCGTTCGGGCACGGGTGTTCCAAACTGAATGTGTTGCACCGTGAGATAGATTGCAAAGTCAGGCAGCCAGCCTGACAATGAATGCCCAACAAACAGATTGACGGGTGTGTCATGGCAGTTGGCCATGGTCAAACCACACGCTGTGGAACTGGCCCAATCAAACTGCGGTGAAACCCATCAAACTGTGCGGCGCAACCCAAATACATCATGTTCAAAAGGAAAAAAGGTGGAAATCATACAGGTCATATCAGGTCATAAAGCCTTCTATCATGAATCATGATAGTTCTGCCGCTCTGCCTTTGTGGTCTCTTTGGTTACAGATGTTGTCTGATATTCGTGTGTGAAGACCCTGCGCTCTGGGGAGCCTGCAGCACTCTCAAGTATCCTCGAGTGTCCCAGCCTCCCCCATGTCCCACTGGTCCTGCGCCAAGACATTGGGGTCCTGGCCAACCGCAAAGTAGACACATCCGGTGGCTGGTCGAAAAAGTTGAGACTCCCGTCCGTCACCGATGCATCAAGGAAATCTCTCACTAACTGGTCAGTACCCTCGACTCTGTGTCAAGAAATCCAACCTACAGTCACCAAAAAGTTGTCTTTTAGTCACTGGTCCCCAGTTCAAATTGACACCCCAAACACCCTCGACTCCGTGTCAGCAGTGTCGCCCATGCCTTTTCTTCCATCCGAAGGCAGTAGTCACCCCCACTACACGGTGGTCGCCAGCGGTGTCGCCCCGTCCTGGATGCCGAAGCGGTCGTAGAGCTCGCGACGCTCGGGATCTGCCAGCAGGTCGTGCGCCTGGAGCTGGATGGAACGATTGGCCGATTCCGTCAGGTCGAGGGGTAGAGGCAGGACCCCCCTGAGCCTTACTTATCCTGGACTTATCCTCACCAAAGCTCTCCTTTGTATTCGTTGGTTGGCCTTGCAGCTTGGCTTGGCTTCGTGGAGCCTGGTCTTCTTGTTTGGTTCGGTTCTGGTTTCTGGCCTCTCCCATTCGGGTCTCAGGTCTGATCTCTGGTCCCTGAGGTCTCTGGTCTCTGGCTCCAAGGTGTCTGCTCTCTGGTCTGGTGTCTGATCCCTGGTTTCTGGTCAGCGTTCTTTGTTTACTGATGATTTCTAATTGTTTTGGTCTCTGGTCTGGTTCTGGTCTTTTGGCACTTGAGTCCTTGATCTCTCGTCTCTGTCTGTTCTGGTCTCTGTTCTCTGGTCTTGGTCCCTGGTTCCTTTCGCTTGTCTTCGTGTGTCTGTGTGTTTTTGTCTTGCGTGGCTGTGAGAAAAAGCTGCACGGGTTTAGGGTTTACAAGTTAAAGCTGACCACAAAAAACAGATGCTAAAGAGATATGCAATTATACCAACATAGACCCGAAACCCCTTCAGCAGGAGTTTTAAGGATATATTATATACATATATATACCACGCAAAAATCTGAAGCCACAAGAATACAAGCCCGGACCAGGGTTTAGAGAGGGACAACGGCGCGGCCAAGCATGGACACACAGACCCGGATCATGCAGTGAAGAAAGGGCGGACGGCACGGACACGGCTATCCTGCCCCTGTTTTTCCCCTAAGAGAGACCAACAGTAAACTGTTTGGGGAAAATTCGATGTTCCCAAACGCATAGTTCAATTAGTGGTAGGTGTCAATCACAGCGAGACCTCAGCAGAGGTCTTGGGCACTGGACTGGAGAATGAATTCTCGAACTGTTGGAGGACGCTGGGGTGCTGATCTACGGTAAGCTTTTCAAAAGATGTCGAATGTTCTTCCCCGTCCCATCCATCCGAATACTGGATCTTTCAGATAGTGAAGGTCAAGATATTGGAAATACGATGAAGTTTCCTCTACCACGTCGGACATCTGAGTTTGGGGAAGCCAATGCCGCGACTACCAAACCACCAAAATAATTGGACAGAAGCACTAATTTAGCAACGCATTGTCCACTTGGGTTTTGGGTGTCCGTGCGCCACCCTTCACCCCGCACCCTTCACCCCGCACCCCGTCACCCACCATCTGTGCCTCTGACAGACGCTTGAACCGCTCCTGGCTCGATCTCCGCGCTTCTTTTTTCGCGCGTGCCTTTTTCACCCAGCAGCTCCAGGCCGCGCGGGTCGTCGATCAGCATCTGTCAAACCCCGCTCAAAAAAAGGGTCAAGTCTTCCAGTCGCAGTGTTCTCACTGGTGGATCATTCCGGACCCCAGGTGGTCACCAGGTCGTCTCCTCTCTTCCGCGCTTCCGGGACCGCAACGCAACGCGGTCTGCCCCGTAAGCCATGCGCCTCGGCGGCCAGCTTTTCGGCCTCCGGCACCTGGGTTCAGACGCTATGAGAGGCCCAGTAGGCCATGCCAATATCCGGTTCAGATGTGGAAAAAACACGAACTGCATGTGGTTCAGATGGGCCTCTTTCCACCCAAGGAGCGGGCTCAGCTCTGATATTGGGTGAGCTTGGTAATCCATTCATACAAAAGTCTTCGATGCCCACGTGAGAGGGGGGTTGGGGGGTCCAACGGAGTGTGCTCCAAACCCGCCGGATGGCCCGAACGGTGCACCCGCACTCGTGCGGGTGCGAACGATAGGTGAGCCCCCACTGGCCTTGTCTGGATGATGCATTCGAGCCTCAGGAGTCGGCCAGCATCGGGTTCCTTTTGCAAAGGAGGCGAAGCTAATGAAATGAAAGGGTGAAAAGGAGAGCAGTAGCACATGTCGGCTTCCGAGTGTTTTTTTGGCCAGACCTTCCAAACAGGTGCATGGTCGGCATGGCCTGCTGCCGCCATGCCCGCTCAATGCTACGAGGCGACGCGTCCTGCGACGCGCTCGTTCGTGGCGATGGAGAGTTTCAGCCAAGGACGGAGGTCAAGAAGCGGCAGAAGCCTGTCCAACAAAACAAACTTCCTGGCGGGAAACCCTGGTTTTCATGGTGGAATCATGTCATGAATGGATCTTGGGAGCGATTGATACTGGCCAAAGACATGTTCTTTCCTCCATCTACTCCAGGATCTTGGCCTAGACCCTGGGCAATGTAAGAAGTTCAAGGATTCAGAAATCCACGGTTTGCTCTGTAGGTCCTGCAGCTTAGGAAGTGCAGGACCAGAACCCTCCTGCATCCTGCTTGGTTCTTCGTCTAAGCTTGAAACCGTCGACAGCAAGTGGTGAGGTCCGGGTCCAGCAATGCTTCCTTCTTCCCATGTGCCACGTTCCAGGTACGTTTTCGGTGAAATGTCAGGCAGCCGTGTCTGACGATGAAAAATCCGGCACCGATTGGCCGCGCTTACTTTGGCGATGTCGGGATGTACATGTTGGATCGTTTCTGTCGGATCGCGGCATCCAACCTTTGACAAAGCCACGCCACTGAAAACCAGCCCTACCGACCCCCACGACTCCCAAAAGTGGCAAGACGGTGCTGTGGTCAAGATGAGATGCTTCTGTTCCACCAAGGCCCACCTGGAGCAGCTTCCAAACCCTCCTCTCATCCCAGACCCCTGCGTTTCGATCGATCCCACTCCCGAGACACGCCCAAGAGCTCGTAGGGGCAGTCCGCCCTGCAGCACGAGACCCATTTTCGGCTGTGAAGAGCGTACAAGAGGGATACCCCGACAGGCCGCCCTAGCCTCTTTGGTGTTTTTTGGTCTCTTTTTTGGCATATTCTTCCACCCAAGGGTCCATAAAGCTCCGAACAGATCCTAGGAGCTGTACCCAAATGAGCTAACTAATCGGTGAACCTACATGATAATTTTCCTGATCTCAGGAACCAGCTGGACCTTCAAAAAACACCGCATGTGTTTTTCCTTTTTCGATAGCCCAAAGAGAGTGGCTGAAGAAAGACAAAAACAACTGGATTATATAGATGGATTAGATCCGGCCTCTTCAAGGTGCAAGTTCTCCAAGGTCCGATTTTCCATTTCGGAAATGCGTTAAGACAAAGGCAACAGTGTAGGTAGGAGAAAAGCATGGGAAATCTGATGAGTTCTCTATCATTTTGGTAACCCACACACTACACATTGTTTTTATCCCAACACAGTGCCCAAACAGCAGAATCTAGCTCAGCAAGGGCTTTCTCTCTGCCTCGTCTCCATGGCTGCGGCCTAGTTTGGCCAGGCTCTCATCAGTGTGGCTGACAACATGCTCGCTCGCTGGTCACTGTTGATGCTGGGGCTGTACAAACAGGGTCTGGTCGGCTCATCCTGCAGTTGACAAGTGAACCAAACGAAACCTCTGCCAAGAACTCCCAACGGTTTCTTATTCTATTGAAGCGGATAGGAGGTTGAGTGGTCATGAGTGGTCGTACTCTTTCGGGCCAGCATGGTTCGAAAGCACTGCTTTTCAAGGCCTTGGAAGACTGACGCACACAGCGCCAGTTGAGCAACCCCAACACATCCTGTTTCAGTCTCAAACATCTTGCCATCTCATCATGTCAATGCAGCTTCGGGCCAAATGGCCGCGTTTTTCTGATGCCCTCCGCAAACACAGGAATCTCCTCATCTGCGAGTTGATGATGCCCAAAATGACCAAAACACTGCAAGATCGTTCACCAAATCGTCTCCTCTATTGACTGTGGCCGTTTGCCGATCCGTTCACCATTCACCGACAGTCGGCCGTACGAAAAAGAACCACATGAATCGTCTCTGGTCCCAACCAAAGAGGCCGCACCCTGAGGGTGGTGCTCCGCACACCCTCGTGCTCCGAGCCTCCTTTCGTGAAGACTTGGAAGATCATGGAGTGCCAGCGGGTGACGTCCTCCCGATACCTGGGCGCGTGGCGCGGCACGCGAAGACCCTGGGGGATGCGAAGACCCTCTCCCGTCGCAGGTGGAGGGTCGGGTGGGTATGAGAAGAACGGTTTTGATGGAGGATCCCCCCCTGGTGTGTCTATGTGTATGTCAAATGCAAAGTTCCAGCTGGATCCAGCATGGGATGAACCGTCCATCCGAAGGACCGGGTGACCAAGGTTGACGGACCCTGAAGCAACTCTAGGCATCCCCAGCAGTGTCGATCTACTCCAGTGAAATCACCTTCTTCTCCATACAAATCGATCGCTCCCTCTCCATACAACCAACTGGCCCCCCAAAAAAACCCTCCTCCTCCTTGGTCCTCCTGCACCTACCTACATTACCTACCCAACCAATCTTTGTGATACCTCCACAGACTTCTCCACGTCCTTTCCGCCTCTCGCCTCTCCCACGTCTCCAGCAGCCGCTCCCAGGAGCCCCGAAGGCCATCGGGACCTCGCTGGGCTGGGCGTTGGTGAAAAACGAGGTCGAACGGACGGGGTCGAACGGATGTGACATGAAAAAAGAAAAGAATTGGAGTGGTCCAAGCAGGGCCTAACCTGGACTCTTGTTCCCAAAGGTTTTGGGTCTATGTCCCTGCACAACAAAACGTTGGAGTTTGGGGGTCACCCCATGGTCAAGCCACCCCCCCAGCTGCTATCGATGTCCGGCGGAAAACCGCCTTGTTCTTCTGAATATGCGATCTGTCTGCTTGTCGTGGGCAGGTCTAGCTTTGCCAGCTTGCCCGACGCAGAGCTTCAAACATAGTAAATGAGGCACCCGAATAGATAGAAAATGATAGAAATGGTGTCCAAGTTCTCAAAGGCTGTATGTACTTGTTTCCTATGTATTTGGGTGCCATGACATAGAATACTAAAAGCAGTCAGCTTGCTAGGGAAAAAAGCTGAATGCATTCAGATTGAAACGTGTCTTGGTTCAACCAATCCTCAGCGCAGCTGTGCTGCTACACCTCTCTTGGACAGCTTTGCTCTGGCCATGCTAGACAGCGCTGCACCGCTGACTGCGCTCACCACTTCGTGCGTGACATTGCGCTCTTGGAGATATGCTTGCATCTTTGCATCATCTTCAAACCGCACAGATAGCATCGGACCGTGTCGCTCCCCCTCGGTCTTGCGTTCCAGGAGGGTTGAAGCAACCCGTCGCTCCGGCGACAGGCTCCTCGAAAGGCTTGGAGGGTCTGCATCCTCGAAGGGCTTGGAGGCAAACATGCTCCTTGCACCAAAGGCCCTGCGCCTGGGCGAGTTGGGTGCTGCCACTGCCATCACTTGTTGTTTTATGCGTCCACCCTCGCTCAAGAGGTATTGAGGCGGCAAGCACACCCTCACATGCTTTCGGCAAGCGGCCAGCAGGAGCAAAGCTTTTGGGGCGGAATTCCCACTCTTGCACAGGGCGGAGGCCAAATCCTCTTTCGAGAAACCTTGGCAAATGTCGCAATATGTCTTCTGGCGGCCGAGGAACTTGGCTAGCAAGGCAGCATCAGGCGCTGTGGCTTCCTGCACTCCCATCAATGCTTTCTCCACCCGCTCCGCAAAGCTTTTCTTCAACTCAGCACGTGCTCTGCGGACGAGACGATGAATGATCACAGCTGTCTTCAACAGCTGTGGAAAGCGAAAAGATGAGGCCTTGACCTGCCCGCACTCCTCCTGGTAAGTACCAAGCATGGCATCGATAAGCTCCATGTATTTGGGGACATGGCCTGCATTCTCTTGCTTGCTCTCGTCCTCTTTGAACAAGCAGAAAGCTGTGAGGATGTCGCAGTTGCAAACCTCCAAATAATAGCCATCTGGATCGCGGATGGAATATTGCGTGATCTTCCCTTCGCTGTTCTCAAAGGACTCGACCAAATTCTCTCGCGCCCTTTTGGGATCGGGAACTGAAATGTTTTGCCTAAAGGGCACGTCGTATTCCATCAGCTTCTGACGGACCTTGTCTGGCTGATCTGTCTCAAGGGCTATGTGTGAGACGATCAAATCGCGACCTGAGGGGGCATTGGGTACTCCCTTGATGAGGTGCAGCTCCAAGTTCCCCATCGTGAGCCAGGCACCATGGCGATCAAAGTTGGGTCGTTGAATTTGCTGGAAGCCAATGATCTCGGTGTAAAAGGCAAGCGACCGCCCCACGTCTGAGACCACCAGGCCAATATGGTTCACACTGTGAATTAGATCCCCCATGCCACGCCGACCAATGTCCGGATTCCAGTGAAGATGCGCCTGGCCAGGCGAGCTGGGCGAGTTAGGCGGGAGAATCCATGAAGAAGTGCCCTTTGAAACGAAGACCAAGGTCATAAGCACCAGCAAAGCGCATGCGAGAAGCACCACTGGTGCAGGGAATGCATAGAAGAATGCCAATCCTGCTCCCGTGAAAGCGCAGCATGCCAAGACTGCACGCCTGTGTCGACAACGTTGGAACTGAGCTCCCATGGGTGCAAACTGGTCAAGCGACTGTTCTCGCTCGAAAACAGCACTGTCCGAAGACTTGGTCAAACTTGAAACCTGCTCAAGCCAAGAGCCTCATAATACATGTTATGATGTTCATGCCACACCGCCTGTCATAACCTCGGGTTCAAATGCCCACCTCTTTCACTCTCCCAAACCCGTCCCAAACGGCCCAAACGGCCCTGCCAGTCCTCCGTCTTCGACCCGTTAGGTGCCCCTGACCCCAGGTCTTGCGACTGGCCAGTGCCGTGCTGCAGAGCAGCTCCAGCGCGGTGAGACCTGCCGGTGGAGCGGTCGGAGACAAGACACCACGCGGAGACACGGGGACCCATGGAAGAGTGATACAGGATGATACAGGCCCGGTAGGTGGTGAATCAGAAAGTTGCTGCAGGG